CCCCGGAGCCCCCGGCCCCGCTCCGATTTTCCCGGACATGTCCGGCTTTTTGGGATTTCCCCCCGGATGGGGATTTGGAGCCCGAAAATCCGGACGTATGGTAACCCTATTATAACTGGGGGCCAATAGCCAGTGTGTGGAGGGGAAACCGCCATCCACAGATCTTCCCCTGCTTGTGCAGAAATGGGAGATGGTAGGGTTTGGGGCTGCAGCCACCTCCACTCCATTTGCCCAGAGTTGGAGATCTATGTGGTTGAGGAAGTAGTCTAGGGATTCATACATCATGCTCCATGGGGATTGTTGGGGAAGTTATCCTAGCTTGAGTCTGTGCTTTTCTTCAGCTGCATCATCCACAGCGGGGAACCCACCCGCCCTGTGAAAAAGTTGGGAGAGAGGCAGCCACAGGCAGGGAGCTGAATCGGATGAGGGGGTGGCAAGTGTGAACCTGAGCTGCTGCAGTCACAGGAGACACTAGGCATTCATGGGCCTGATCCAAGGTTTCTCCTGCAGGATGGGTAAACCCCACTGCCAATGGAAGAACCCAGGGGAGCCTCCTGGATGAATTTCCTGGGCTCAACCTTGCATGGGTAGGATGAACTCCTTCATGCCTCTGCTGTTCTCCGTGTCCAAGAGCAGCTCGGTCTTGTTAGCGTCATGTTGTAAATGACTAACAAGCAAAACAAATAGGGAAAGAAAACTGACCCACAACTAGAGCAGAAGATAAAGGGAAATGCAAACAGACAGTTTGTTGGATGTTTGCACAGTGGTTTGGTGAGGTGGGATATTCCCCCACCACCCATACCGCTTTAAATTCCCAGCCAGGGCTTGTCACTGTGCATTCACTCTCCCTGCACAGAAGGCTGCTCTCTGAATTATCAGTGGAAGCACCAGATTGAAACAGAGTTTTGTGGGATGGGCAGAATCGATTTTAGACTGTACATAGATATATATGGCTAGGAAGCCTTAAAATCAGTCTGAAAGCTGGAAGAGTGCAGAGATCGGCTATTGCTCATTATTCTGACACTCTGCTAGAATGGCCGCTAACTGAATGGGGAATTTTATGTTTAGGCCTTAATTCTCCAAGGTGCTAACACACTTTCCCCCATACAGAAGCACAGGAGGGACGAGCTAAGATCAAATATAGAAAAGAAAAGCTACATTGGAAGATTCGGGTGTGGAGCAGCTGACCCAGATCTTAAAGGGGGCCTATAGGAATGTGAGATATGATTGCAGGGCTCTCCTGTCTGATCTCTGATTAGATTATTCAGTATTTACTTATTTCTAGCAGTGCCCTGGGAATGCCAGGAGCTATGCAAACAGCAAAGGGTACAGCTGCACTGCCCCAAGGACTTTAGAAGTCGAAGAGGATGATTCTAAGAGAAACAACTTCCTCTAAGGGCACAACCATGGGACAGGGAGGCAGGAGGCCAGGGTTCTGTGCTGGGCTTTGGTGATGTGATCTGGGGAAAGGCACATCCCCGCTGAATGATTCAGTTACCCCTGTGAAGCCCACTTTAAATGGATCAGGAACTAGATGTCAAAAAAGTAGCTGTTATTGGGGAATCACAAAGGGTGTTTCTAGTGGAATTCCACAAAGATTGGTGCTGGTCCCCGATGCTTTTCAACATTTTTATCTGCTTTCTGGAGGTAAATATAAATATAAAGTCACTGCTTATAAGATTATGGATTTTGCAGAGTGGTAAAGAATGAGGGGGACAGTCAGAGATTGCTTTCTAAACTAGGTCCATTCCTACAAAATGTGTTTTCATTAGGGTGAGTGACCAGACAGCAAATGTGAAAAATTGGGACAGGGGGTAATAGGAGCCTATATAAGAAAAAAATCGGGACTGTCCCTGTAAAATTAGGACATCTGGTCATCCTAGTTTTCATACAGCCCAATACAAGGTCACCCAGCTAGGATCAAGGAATGGGAGACTATATCCTGGAAAAAGTGATGCTGAAAAAAGGTTTTAGGGGGTCACACAAGTGAACATGAGCTCCCAGGGCAATGCTGTGGCAAAAAGGGCTAATGCGGGCCTTGGGCATATAAACAGGGCAGGGACTTTACCTCTCTATACGGCATTAATGAGACCCAGGCGGGAATACCATGACCAGGTCTGGTGTCCCACGTTTTTAAAAAAAGATGTTGAAAAATTGGAGAGGGTGCAGAATAGAGCCACAAAAATTAAGACATGGGGAAAAAAATGCCTTACAGGAGAGAGTTAAAGAGCTCAATTTGTGAGTTTATCCGCAAGACAGAGGCAGCTTGATTATGTCTTCACACAGCAGAGTCAACCTGTGGAACTCACTGCCAGGGAATGTTGAAGGCCAAAACTATACCTGGAATTAAAAAAAAAAAAAGGAATTAGATACTTTCAGGGAGGATAGATGCATCAATGGCTATTAGCCAAGATGGTCAGGGATGGGACCCCATGTTCTGGGTGTCTCTAAACCTCTGACTGCCAGAGCTGGGACTGGAAGACGGGACGGATCACAATAATTGCCCTATTCTGTTCATTCCCTCTGAAGCATCTGGCACCAGCCACTGTCGAAAGACAGGATCCTGGGTTGATGGCCCATTGGTCTGACCCAGTATGGCCATTCTTATTACAGGATTTCTGCTCCTTCATTAGGAGAACATACCAGGTACTAAAGTTTCAGAGTAGCAGCCGTGTTAGTCTGTTAGTCTGCAGGTACTAAAGTGTTCTTTAATCTAGTGGAGAAAGGTAAAACAAGAACTAATGGCTGGAAGTTAAAGCCAGACAAATTTAAATGAGAAAGAAGGCACAAGCTTTTACGTGAGGGTGATTAACCATTTGGAACAGTTTCTCCAGCTCTTGAAGTTTTCAAATCAACACTGGGGCCTTTCTGGGTGATGCTTTAGTCAAAGACAAGTTATTGGGCTTAATAAAGAAGTAACCAGGTGAAACGTAATAGCCTATGCTACACGGGAGGCCAGGCTACAGGATTTAACAGTCCCTTCTGGCCTTAACAATCTAGAACTCTATATGATATGGACCCTCCTTTATAAAACATTTTAAGGCCTGTGTATGGGAAATGCTATAACAGTGCTAGGAGATTGGTAGTTAAGAAAAATGACCAGAGTCTCAAATCCATTGTGGGCTCTGAAACCCTCGCTGGGTACATCCTGCCTGTTAAATCAGCGAAGACTGCATAAAGCATAACAAGATTGCTGACTCTCCCACAGCTGTGCAGAGCTAACTGTTTCAGTAGCTATTATTGCTCGTAGGCCTCAGCTGAGCTCGGGATCACATTGCCTTGGGCACTGTACATTGTAAGGGACCGTTCCTGTGCCAAAGAGCTCAAGCTAGCTAGACGAGGCGGGAGGAGGGGAAAGAGAAGAGGTGATTTACTCCAGGTCACTGAGAGAGCCAGGCGTTGAATCGAGGTTTCCCCAAGTCCCTGTCCAGTTACTAGACCATGCTACAGCCCCAAGACTCAGACAGAGGGAGCAGATACAGAGTTAAGGCCACACCCTTCACCTCTGGACAGTGCAAAGTACAGTCTCTCCCCTGCTGTATATTCCTCCCTGTTTGTCCAGCATTGTTTATAGCAGCCCATTTTCTGATGCTTTGTCCCTTGGGGAGACTATTCCCCAGCCTCTTGCTGTTAGCAAATGTTTCCTTATCCTCCTTTACTCGCTCCACTCCTATTGCGGCAGAGATAGAGCCTCTGGTTCACCCCCCAGGATTCCCTTGACACCCTGTGCTTTCCAACAGCAGGCAGCAGCTCCATGCTCAGGCTATTTCACGGCCACTCTCCAGCTGCTAAAGAGGTTCCTAGCAAGAGACTCCAAGTTTGTCAGTGGAATGACAGATCAGATTCATCCTTGCTAAGGACCAGCCATGACTTCCCACTGGCAGGGATGCAAGCTGCAATGAAGTGGGAAATAAGAGGGAAACCAACCACTGTGCTCACACCTCGTGAGGTGGTTGTGGGTGGCAGAGGGGAGAGAGGGGCCATCATGAAAAAAAAAATCATAGAGAGTTGTGTAGCTATAGAGACCTCTAGGGAAAATCTTGAGACAATGTAGGACAGGAGACACCAACTCTGATTTCTCACCCAGAAAGATTCCCATAAGCCTCCATTCTATTTAGATGCTTAGACAGAGTTGCCGTGATCAGTTTTAGGAGGGAATCACTGGCTTAAAATCTAAGGGTAAAAGAACCTCCCCGATGTGGAAAAAGGCTCACGTGGGGTCTGATTTTTCAGGTGTTCAGCACCCGCAACTGGATGCCAATCTTCAGTAGAGCTCAGGTCCCATTAAGACATCAAATTAAGGACCAGATTGTCAAAAGGGCTGAGTCAGCATCCACGCACTGTGCTGAGCTCCTTTGAAAATCCAGCCCATAAGGCTGTGCAGGGAAAAGCGAGACCGTGCCCCCATCCAAACCAGTAGGAGCAAGTCAAACACGGCAAGGGCACTAAAATAGCTTTTACACGTCTATCAAGGTAAAAGGCATATTAGAGAGGAGGCACTTTGGTAAATGAGGCAATGGATGAAATCAGTTATGCCTCTAAAAATCAATAAGGTCCTGAACTCCAGACTTAAAAATAAATAAATCTGTCTTTGACAAGAACAATGAAAGAAAGAAAAAGTGGGGTAACGGAGAAGTAATCAGCCTCTTAGTGCATGTACTGATCCCACGCCTGTACCACTTGGGCATGTGTAACTTACTGATACTAAAAGTGTTTTTCTGGCTCATAGGCACCGTATGAAGGGTGGGGGAGAAGGACATGTCTTCTTTAAGGGGGCTCTCTGCCTGCAGGGGCCTGGCACATCGTAGAGGATACTGGAAAATGGATAATATAACAATGCAGGAAAGACAGGGCTTAGACAAGATGCACGGATGCAACTCAGACGGACAGACAGCATGATGTATAGCCTAAGATGGTAATGAACTTATAGACACATGAGTAATTGTTTGTGAAACACCAAGGGAGAGATGTGGAGGTCACAGACAGCTGGAGAATTACAAATGATACCAACTTTCAGGCAAAGGAAAAAGCATAATCCTGGCAATTGCTAGCCAGTCAGGGAATCCATAGCAAGAGAAAACTTAGAGAGGGCAAACTCCTTAGCATGGCGCTATAAGGAGCAGCTCATACCAGGCAAACATGATTGCTTTGCTGACAGAATTACAACTTAGCAGACAGAGGGCTACGCTTGCAGTGATGCATTTGACACAGCATCTCATGAAGTCTCATAGAAGTAATTCAGACAGGTTTGGACGTGCACGCTGGCTGGCATGTGGATTGAAGGCCAGTAAAAAGGCTAATGATAAACAGCACTATATCGAGTTGAGGGGGAGGGGGGCAGATGTCATCCAGTGGGACGCTCTGTTGTTGATGATGCAGTGAGTGGTTTTATTTAACATCTGCATTAATGAGCTCTATTGAGAGTACTCAGCATGTTGAAGAAATTCACAGCTGGTATTAGCTTGTGAGGTGTGAACATCAGGGAAGGCAGAGTGATAATTCAAAGGGACACAGAGGTTAGGCATGTGGGTGGGAAATACCATGAGACTCAGCTTGAGGTGGGGAGAGATAATTTGGGCTCTAGGGACTCCATGAGAGGGTGAGATTTTGGAAGCAGGAAGAACAAGCAAGACCTTGGCGTGACAGCAGAAAGGAGTTTGCAGTGAGAGACGGTAGGAGAAAAGGTCAGTGCAATTCTGGGCAGAACTTTAGAGGCTTTGGGTCATAAGTTTGGGGGATGATGATCGCCCCGTACATTGCTCTGAGAGAGCTCATGGGGAATATGATGTCCACGACCAGAGAGCATTGAGAAGTGTGAATGCTCAGAGGGTGTTTAGAGAAGGGCCACACAGCATGGGGGAGCATGGACTTAAGAGGCAACATACATTGGGACATCACAGCAGGGAGGCTGGCAGACCACTGAGATCAGAGGGATTTGTTAGGGTGGCTACAGAGGTAGAACTAGGGGGAAAGGGATGAAATCAGAAAGGGCAAATTGACACTGAAGTATCGGGAAACGTTTCCAGATGGTGAAATGTATCAGGCTATGGAATTGTCTTGCAAGGGAAGAGGTGCAGCCTCATCAACATTTTAAATTCAGACTGGACAAAGCACTGGACTGTGTACTGGAGTCAGTCGTCATACATTGGGTTAGGGGGATAGACTGAATTACCTAGCAGATCTCTTCCAGCTCTAATACAGGGAGCAGCATAATCTAGTGCATAGAGGCAAGAGACCTTAGTTCTGTTCCCACTTCTGGCACTGAGAACGTGTCCTCTCCGTGACAAAGTGACTCAGCCTCACCAGCTTTGCTTTACAGTGCAAGAGCCAGTCCTGTTCACTTGATGCCTCAGACCTGCAAAGGACCTCATCAATGTTTGGCACACCTTGGATACTGGCCATTCTGCCCTGTTAAAGATTGTCCCTTCTGTTACCAAGAAAGCTGCTGGTCCTAATCAGATTTGCAGATGACACAAAGCTGGGAGGAGGGGGTTGTCAATACTTGGAAGATAGAGCTAAAATTCAAAGGGAGAACTGGGCTAGAGAAAACAAAATGAAATTCAGCAAAGACAAATGTAAGGTGCTACACTTAGGGAAGAAAAAACAAATGCAGAAATACAGCTTGGGGGCTAACTGGCTGAGAAGAATCTGGGAGTTGTGGATCACAACCTCAACATGAGTCAGCAATGCGATGCTGTTGCAAAAAAAGCAAATCCAATTTTAGATTGCATTAACAGAGGCATAGCATGCAAGTCACAGGAGGTGATAGTATCACTCTACTCGGCACTGGTTAGGCCTCAGCTGAAGTACCGTGTCCAATTTTGGTCACCAATGTATAAAAAGGATGTAGAGAAACTGGAGAGGATCCAGAGGTGAGCACCAAAGATGAACAAAGGGATGGAATACAAGCCATATGAGCAAAGGCTGAAGAAACTGGGTATGGTTAATTTGGAAAAGTGGAGCTTAGATAGCAGTTTTCAGATACTTGAAAGGCTGCCATCAAAAGATGGAGAAAAATTGTTCTCTCTTGCCACAGAGGGCAGGACAAATAGCAATGGGTTCAAACTACAGCAGAGCAGATTTAGATTAGATCTCAGGAAAAACTTCCTAACTGAAAGAACAGTCTGCCAATGGAACAGACTGCCTAGGAAGGTCATGGAAGCTCCTTCACTGGAAGTTTTCAAAAGGAGGCTGGATAGCCGTCTGCCTTTGATGTTTAGACACAACAAATCCTGCAGCTTGACAGGGAGTTAGACTAGATGGCCTGGCGGGCCCTTCTAACCCTATGGTTCTGTGGAAACTAATACATAGAGATAGATCCACAAGATGACGTAGGCTCAGAATGGCACCCAGTTAGGGTTAGGTGCACAGCCACAAGTCAGGCACCCAGGCTCCCTGTACGATGCCCGGGGAGACTTAAGCACCTAAGAATGAGATCCACAAAAGCCAGCACACTGAGTGAGGAGCTGCCAGTAGCCTCAGAGGGGCTTAGGCCATATCCCTCGCCTATCTCCACTTGGGATTTTCAGCCATGGACTTTTTCCTGGGATTAGGGGCCTAACTCTTTCTCCCAAAAAAATAAGGAGTTGGAAGCCCCCTTTAGCCAAGTGATCAGAGCACTAACCCAAGCTGTGGGAGGCCCAGGTTCACAGCCCCTCTCTGCCAGATTTAGAGGAGGGATTTGAACTCTCATTTGTGATCTCTAAAGACAGCACCCTGACCGCAGGGCTTGGGAATTCCGAGATTAGCCTCCCTGTTGAAGAGATTCCACCTTGTATAAATTAAATAGCTTGGGCTGCCCACATGCCAGGTGAGAGTCCTATCCCCTGGGCTATAGTGCCAGTCTGGCTCGCTCTCTCTCTCTCTCTCTGGCCAAAGGCATATTTAATTATTTATAGAAAGAACTTTGTTCCCTGGTTCCACGATGGAAGAAAAGTGCTCACCTTAAAAAAAAAAAATCAGCTTATTGCAGGACTTAATGTGTCCCATCTGGATGTTGTTCTCGTGTTCCTGCATTCAACATAAGAAACGCCAGGATCAGCTCCATGATCCATCTAGTAAGAAGATGTGGGATAAACCCCCCTCTCCCCAAACCTTAAGAGTTAGGGGCTGGTTCAACGTGGAAATAGGGTTTTTATATCCCGTCTAAGGCTTGGTTTTATTATTTACCACTCTAACTTTGAATATCCTTGTTATCCACCCAACTGTCCAGATAAATCTCTAGCCGGCTTTGAAAATCTCCACTGGGGTTTTTGGTTTTTTGTTTGTTTTTTACCGCTGCCAGTCCCAAAGTGAGCCTTCATCAGGGAACCAGACAAAGCCGCAGCCCTTGGAATCTATTAACCAACATCCAGCCGCTCTGTTAGGTTTTGACCTGCACAAGTTTAAAGCCGCCAAGAAGTGTCATCCAATTATACTACAAGCAGGAAACATTATAATTAAATTCCAGGAAAAAAAAATACATCTCAGGTCTCGGCAGGTGTGTAACTTTGAATGTGCCAATCTGGATGAATTCATCACTTCCTATCGGCTAGGGACCTGACATGGCAATCTGCAGGGAGAACTCTTTTAAAAACATATTGTCTTCAATAATGAAGCCAAAGAATTTAATATCCGGTCGGTTGAATTCAACACCCCAGATGAAAACTGCTTCATTTTGCAGCATTAAATGAGTGAATCCTTCAGCATGCAAAGGATTAGATTGCACACGGCTCAGGCAGGCAGCCTATAGCTAGCCCGGAAAGAGGCAGGAAGGCCCAGTGGTTAAGGCACTACCATGGAAGCCTGGATTCAACTTCCTGTTCCAGCCCATGCTATGTGCCTGATCTTGGGGGGAGGGATAGCTCAGTGGTTTGAGCATTGGCCTGCTAAACCCAGGGTTGTGAGCTCAACCCTTGAGGGGGCCATTTAGGGATCTGGGGCAAAAATCTGTCTGGGGATTGGACTAGATGACCTCCAGAGGTCCCTTCCAACCCTGATATTCTATGATTCTACACAGCATCGCATGGCCTTGCCCCAGAGAGGTATTGTGAGGTGCACTGATACAATGGTAATGATATGTCAGATGAATAGACAGGAAGCAGGGTGGTGGCTTTCAAGTCACTGCTGATAGTCTCAGGAGCTGCCTGCCTCCAGACAAAGACCCCCAGATGGATTCTAGCTGACTCAGCAAGAATTCATCCTGGGGCAGCCCCACTAGAATGGGAGCTCTGCCTCCCTTGAAAAGTTCCTGAGATGAGCATGCTCTGTGCCTCTATTACATACAGGGCTATAACAGGGTCTCACTCACCACTGTTGGGCCTCCGCATGGCCGGGTTGTGGGATCAGCTCTCCTGCCCTTTAGTGCCCCCTTCCATCACTCACGTACTCACGTTGCAGCCTCTCTCACTCTCCAGGACTTCAGCCCTTCCAGGGTATCGACATCTTGCTAGACCAACTGTCCAGATGCCACCTTCAACAGTCCTGAGCCACTTCCCAGTGGCTGCTAGGGGAACCCAGGCCCATGCCCCCTCTGGGTTCCAGCCCAGGGACCCTATAATCGGTAGCCAAAGTCTGCACAGTCTCAGCCCTCGCTGATCTCTCCCTGGGCTTCCTCCACAGGCTCTCTTCCCTGAAACTCCTCTGGACAAATCCTTTCTATCAAAGACAGGATTCCAGGGCTTTTGCTCCTTCTTCCCATCTCTCTGTACCTAGACACCAACTACAGAATCTCTCCCTGCAGCCCCCTTCTGCTCGCATCTTCCTGGCTTTATACAAGCCCAGCCTGTTCCTGCCTAGCTGGGCTTCATCATCAGTTAACCTTCATCAGGCCCTGGCTCGCCCCCAGGTGCAGCCTACAAAGTTAATTGGCCCCTTCTGAGCAACTTTAACCCCTTCAGTGAACACTCCCAGCACGAGTGCTTATTAAAGTTGCTTACACTTCCCGTTATAAGATGCTATTTTCAGTGGCATATAACTCGGCCAAACTTTACCATTTGGCCTGACGTTTCCCAAGCCATATGTTGTTTAGCCCATGTTAAAAAATTCTGGCATCCTTTCCTTTGGGCAGTGCTACTGCCCTCATGCTTTGGAGCAGGGACTTGAAATTTGGCAGGCAGGGGGTGGCCTGGGTGTCCGGGATTGGCCTTTTGCCATCACTGTGAAAACCCACCCAAATTATAAGCTTTCGAAATAGTGCAGTTCGCACATGCGCCACAGCTACTTGCTAGAGCTTCAGAGTTATAATCGCTGAAGTTTCCATTTGCACTGAGAATGCTCCATCCTGATGCTGAGCAAGACTTTCCATACAATTGTAGCTCTGGGCTGCTCCAGGCTGGGTCCAGACACCAGAACGGAGACCGGGGAACCTGTTTCTCCTGTGCGCTCATTGATTCCTCCCCCTCCCCCCAACCAACTGAGCTAAGAAAGCTGCCAGATTTGAATGCAGAGGAGACAAGAGCTGGACCTGGGGTAAGAGGTGGGGGGAGCAGGTTGAGATAAAGAGCCTGGAGAGGGAAGAATGAGACTGGAGGTGGAGCCGGAGAGTTGGGCTGGGGAGAGACTGGGACAGGAACCAGGCATGGGAAATGAGGGGGATTGGAAGCCTATGGGTGAGATCGGATGAAGAGCCAGGGGGATACTGGGAGTGGGACTGTGGGAAATAGTATGAGGTCGTGTCCTATACAGATGCATAGATGAAAGGGGTCCAAATAAAGGTCACCCAGGCCACCTTAATTCTGGCATTTTCTAACTTCTGAGTGCTTGACTTTGCAACCTTAAAAATGTTCTTTTAATGTAGTTTGTGTGTGATGTGTGTAAACAGTTAACAAATGGAAAACACGTAGCCTGGTGTCTGGCTTTGGTAGGAGCATGTGAATGATGGTGCTCTGCAAATGGCTTCCATCGTACTTCCTTAGGTGGGCGCTCATCAGATGCTAACTCAACCAGAGAGCGTTGCCACTTGCCCCCTGTCCCTCCCTACCCCTGGAGCAGTGTCCATGCTACCCGCGTAGCTTTGGCACAGGGACCCAATGGGAGGGGATAGCTCTTTGCACCTTCTCCCCCGTCCCTGCACATGCCCAGGCTCGCTTTGGTCCTACGTTGGCTCCTCTCAGTGGTTGCCTTAGTGACAATGACACACCTGCCTCCCTCTCAGAGGAGCACCAGCCATTTCGTGAGGTATTCTGCTTCCAGCAGCAACCAGTCCAAAACCTCTCCCACAATGCACCTGGCCAAGTCCTCCCTGAAGCACTAGGCTTGGTTCAGCCAAGAGCTGTAAATTTCTCTAGCAAAAACAGATCCAACCAACAGCAGAGGCATCCGAGCTGGAAGGGGAAAATTGACAACAGCCGCCTCAAACAGCAACTGTTGCCTTGGCCGTGGGAGCGCAAGCCGTGGGATGGGTCCTCCGGATGGCTCCCTGAGCAGCCATGACTAGTCCCGAGAATGACAGACAACAGCTGCTGGCAGACAGTGCTGCCAGGCAGAACTAGGGACTGTCTTAGTGTTCCCAAGATCCAGATATGCCCTTGAATTCAGCAGTCCAGGCAATAAGTTCATGGCAGCCACTGTGGGTAGCTTTATCACCAGCCATCTGTGTGACAACAGCATGACCACAGGACAAAAGCATATCGGTGTCTTAGTCCGTATGGTGGCCAGGAACCCAGGGCCAGACACTGGCAGAGAGCTGGAACACACAGAAAGTGTGTATTTAACTAACAGAGCAAAACTCCCACTCACTGGCTCACAGAGAAAGCCCTTCTCCTGGTCATGGGAACAACAGAGGGCTGCGAGTCCAGCTGGGGCATTAGCACGCCGCAGTGCCGCTCCGTCAAAGCTCTCCCTTGCTGCCACCAAGGAGAGGGCCAAGGACAGAATATTAGCTATTAAATAAAGCACATCCTAGCTCCTTGTTCCCTCTGCCCTGTGGACCCATCTACTCTGGGCTGGGCTTGCTTTGAGCGTGAGCTCTCTCTCGGGTCACACATGGGACTCAGCAGGAATGAGACAGCTACAGACAAAGGAGTCCATCCTGCATGCGAGTTCCAGCCTGCCAGCCCTGCAAGCTGAAGCCTGGTATTTACCCACCTCCCAGGGCTAGCGCTGCAGCCAGAGCTGTGCCTCCACCCTCGACTCCCAAGGGTCATCATTAGGGTTTGGAAGGGGGCTCTGTCTCCACAGCCTACGCTGTCCTTGGTTGAGTCAGCCCATTGGAACAATGCACGCCTGGAAATAGAGTAAATAACCTCCAGTTAAGCCTAATACTGCAAATCCCGGCCTACGCTTGGGAGTGAGTATCATAGAAGTGTAGGACTGGAAGGGACCTCGAGAAGTCTTCTAGTCCAGTCTCCCGCACTCAAGGCATGGCTAAGTATTATCTGCTTTATTCTGTATCTGCTTCCAACTAGCTGTGCATGACGAGCTTCACCGCACTCAGCCCAGACACTCTGTCTGGGAACTCAGCCCTTAAAGGCATAGTCCTCAGTACTATAGCCTGGACCCGGTGGAGTCCCACTGGCCTGGCTAGTGTCTCCCAGTGCAGAAAGAGAGGCATTGTGAGGCACCATAATATTCTGGCCCAGATTCTGCCCTGCACGGAGATCCACTTGGTGCAGGAGATATGGGGGCTGTCAGAGAACCAGTTCTGGCTCCCCAGTTCTGTGGCCTGATCTATACCATTCTCAACCCCAGTGTAAGATAGGAACCCCCAAGGCTGCTCTATCGTTCCCAAGGAATCCACGTGCCCACGACCTGTCCCCTGCTACGCCAACACATCCTGCACAGTCCAGGATGGTTGGTGCAGAACCTGGTACACTTGATTCCCATCTCTTCACAATGAAAAGGACCATGGGGTCTCTAAAAGAGCTGAGCAAATAATTAAAATCCACATTTGTCAAATAATTTCTTTGGGGGGAAAAAAAACCCTACCAAATGTGTCTCAGGGCTATCTCTGAGCTATCTCAGGCCAGAGTTCCACGCGCTCACGGATGCATACGATGAACCATGTAGGTCACCTCTCCATTTGACGCACCTGGCATTCAGCACAAAACCTGTCTGCCCAAGTGCCCCCAAGAGGTAACGCCACCAGACTCAGTGGAGTCATGCCAGAGATGAGGTTGGTGCCTTAATGCGCCAGTGGAAAGCCTCTGCCCATGGGCACAGCTCCAGCTTTATTCCTTTCTGTGCTTTTCATGACGTTTCTTCAATATAAATGGTAACGTCGATGTTTTTGCCAGCACTTAATGCAGATATTTCTGTCCCTGGCCCCGTGTCTCGTCTCTCCTTGACAACGCAGTAAGTCAAGTAAACTAGCACTTTCCAGCCTCATAAGACTAACATACCACTCTGCACTCATAGCTCCTTGCATCTGAGGATCCCAGGGGCTTTCCAAATATCAGCCCATTAACCACCCCACCCACAGGATAGGAAGTATTAGCCCCTTCCTGACAGATGGGCAAACAGGGACACAGAGAGGACACGTGACTCACCCGGGGTCTCACAGCAGTCAGAGGCAGAGCCAGGCACAGAACACCGAACTGCACCGCCAGTCCTGTGCTCTCACCACTACACCACACTCCCTCCAAGTGCTTTACAAGCCTTAATGTTTCCAGCATCTTTGGGCCAAGTGGGTAGGTGAGCCGGGTGGTCACCATTTTACAGGTGGGGAAACCAAGGAAGAGACAGTAAATCCCAAACCTGAACTGCCAGTCCTCGGTGCCAAAGCTAATGGAATTGAGGAGTTCCTGGCTCCCAAGCCTGTGCTCAGACCATCTCTCTCTTTCATTCCCCTTCACCACACCTCCATCCCTCGCCCACACCTCCATCCCTCGCCCCCATCCCCCCATATGTGCACAAATAATTCCCCTGAATCGTAGGAATAAAATCAACGTCTAGCCCCGCTCCATGTATTGATACATGTACCCACCTGTTTAAACCAAGCGCCTCCTCATTAAGATGCTATTTATATACCGTCGCTCTGGATGGTGTTTGATATGCATGCAGCAATCTGGGTGCTGTTCACGCTGGCTCTGCAGCTCTCGCACAACCTGTCCTTCTCCAGTCTGTGCTGTAGCAGACAGAAAAGAAATCAGAACAGTTCAGTTAAAAGGGGGACGGGCGTCATCGATGCCTGGCAAGCCCCCAACACATGCCAGCCTTGCCCAGGGAGGGGATAGGGATCGAGGGGCCTGAGTTCTGTCTCCTTGGCCCGTTCCAGCCCTGTGTTCTCTGGCAGGCCAGCACTGCCCACCCCGGGTTTGCTCGGTGGCTAAACGGTGGACTCCTTGCTCCAGGGCTGACAATTCGGTACCTTTCATCAGCACACAACATCCATTTTCTCAGTTCGGAGCTAGCCCGGCTGTGATGCTGGTCCGGGGAAGGGCAGGGCATCACTTTGCACCAGGGCCCAGTCAGGAATCGCTGAACCACGTATTTACTGTCGGCTGAAAGAGAGAGAAAGGAAAGCAAATGAATTTCCCCCCGACTGCTAATGATGAAGTGAGATTGTACTGAACTGAGCCACAGTGTAAACGTTAATAAAGGTCACGTTAATGACTGGCTTAATTCAGGAATTATAAATTAGCTGATGTGAATTTGCTTTATGAACTGCTCCTTTCTGGCGCGAACCCTCATCTCTGTCACGGGGCTCTCGCTCGGTTTCATACACCCCCCACCCCTAAGCGGCTCTCAGCTAATGGGGGTGCACTGCCCCCTAGCAGCACTAGGAAGTCAGAGCAGCTAACAAGAGACAATATTACCACACTGGAGTGAAGAGCCGCCGCTCTTTGTAATTAATGTGGTGGACGTGGCACAGAATCGGACTTTGAGCGTTTCGTCAGCTGGCTAAGCCTCACTGTTAGGACCCAAGACCACATCAACCCCTGAAAGAAGAATAAAGGGGACTGTTTCATAAGAAGGAAGTCGGGGGAACCGGGCAATAGGATGCCTGCATGTACCCCCAACCCTGTCATGAAATCACAGTGACTTTGGGAAGTCACTCAACTCCTCTGTGCCTCAGTTTACCCCTCTGGGTGATAATAGTCACCCACTCCCTCCCAGGGTGATATGGCTTACCCAGTCAGTGTTTGTAAAGCACAACTTCAGAGCAGGGCCTGTCTTTTTGCTCTGTGTTTGCACGGAGGGTCCTAGTCCGTGATGGGAGCACCGAGATGCTACCTCAGTACAGGTAATAAATATGTATCTAAATCCTTCCCGTATGGTCAGACATCACTCAGCATGTTGCTAGACAATTGTGTTTAAATAATATATGGAGATATACCTATCTCACAGAACTGCAAGGGACCTTTCAAGGTCATTGAGTCCAGTCCCCTGCTTTCACTAGCGGGCCCAAGTACTGTCCCTGACAGTGCGGGGGGGGGGGAATTTGGTTGTTCTGCCCCAGATCCCTAAATGGCCCCCTCAAGGATTGAACTCACAACCCTGGGTTTGGCAGGCCAATGCTCAAACCACTGAGCTATCCTTCTTCCCCTTACCATCTCTTTGCACAGCCACTACAGAGTAAAATAATACACAAAGTGCATTGCAACAATTCAGAAACCAGTTTGAGAACCACTGCCATTTATTGAAAAGAACCCCCAAACGTGTGTTACTAATGGTGCCTCGGCTTCTTAATATGGAAAAGTTTGTTGTTGGTTTTTTAAACCTGGTTTACAATTCACCACCTATGCTGTTTGTTTGCTTTTTGCAGCTAGGCCAGTGTAGCTTGACTGGTAAGTTTCATCATATAGTCAGTTGCACTTCCAAGTCTCTCCTACACTAGCAGTCTTTGGTTACAAACACTGCAGGAGAATGGCTAAGCCCCACAAATTAAAGAAAAATAAACCCTGCACTTTCCGAAGTAGTAGAAAAACATGAAACATTTTGAGTAGGTTTATAAAGCTGTAACACAAACACGCTCTGAATGTGGAATCTAACGGTCCTAACAGCATCCCTTCAATTTAACATAAGAATTTAAGATGGCACTAAAGCCGACATGCAGTCAATAGAGCGAGCATTCCTCCTTTTGGTATTTTATCTGCCCTGAATTTAATACTTTGTGACACATGTATTTACCCTGGTAAATCAATGGAGGTTACAGGCTTTTTTCCAGCAAAACTCAGGTACCTTAATTTATTGCATTAAATGGCCATATCAAAGGCTTTTCAGAGATCAACAGAAAGTGCTGTAGGGTAAATTTCCACTACCACTTACCAGCAAAAAAAGAAGAAGAAGAAGTCCGGTAATAATCAGCACTTTAGTGTAGATTTAGAATTGAGATTAGATTAGGCATTGAGTGGCAGTAATTCCAACAGAAGGTCTGGGCTACAGCAGCAAAGAGAAAATGTGAAGACTGTAGAGACTAAATCAATATCTCAGAAGATAAAAGGGAGCCGAGAAATTGGCTGATAATTATTCAGACCCACCTTTCTGAGGGAAGGGTAATTAAAGCCATATTCTAATTAATGCGTACCTTGCCCCAGCCATTCTTCAAAGAAAACCTAATGAGGCTGTGAGAATAGACTCAGATTCCTCCCCTCTCTCTCAGAAAGGGGTGCCTGTTTGGGGAGGGGAAGAGTCAGGAGGAGATCTTGGAGCAAGCAAAGGAGCTGTTAAAGAAAAAAATAATAATGATCTGTCCCATCTACCTTCCCTCCCCCTGTGGTACTTTGGAAAGTCAGATGTAGGCTGTCAAAGACAGGATCAGTAAAACCTCGGGAATTCAAACCTTTGAGAGGAGCCGGAGTCAGAAAAATCACAGGCTTTGGAGTTAATTACAGCACTAAGAAAATACCAAAACCGGCCTGGGATTTTGAAACGTCGTTGGCAGCCAGATTCAGATTAGTGAGGAGGTACATTGCGTTCCAATCTTTGCAAAAGCAAAGTCGGGCACAGATCGCTGTCGTTAGTTTAACCCTTAGCCTCTGGGTGGGAAAAGGCTGGGAAGCAAAGAGCCATTTCCCTGTCACTCAGGGGAAGCAGCAAGGCCTGCTCGCGGGCAGGGCCGGCTCTGGCTTTTTGGCCGCCCCAAGCAAAAAAAAAAAACCTGAGGCACGGCCGGAGCGCGGGTACAGGGGGACCGAGCTGGAGGGGGGGGGGAGGGGAATGGGTGGGAGAGAGAGAGAAGGGGCAGCCAGGGCTACAGCGTGGGCGCTGCCTCCTGCCGTGAGGGCTCTGCTCCGGTCAGCGGGGAGGGAAGGAAGAGGACTGCCCTGCAGGGTGCTCTGGTTCTCCGCGCCACCACCCACTACAGGGCAGCTGGAACGGAACCAAAAAAAAATAAAAAAGGCGGCCGTGCCGCTCTAGGATTGGGCAGAATGCCGCCCCAAGCACCAGCTTGCTCAGCTGGTGCCTGGAGCCGGCCCTGTTCGTGGGAGCAGAGGAGCTGGGTTTGAGTCCCCAGCTTGGCCACTGACCTGCAGGGTGACCTGAGGGACATCAGTTCCCCTCTCTGGGCCTTCGTCGCGGCTGCACACAGCAGTTTGTTGTTGTAGGGTCTGTTTTGACTGCCAGGTTGTATACGCCACTTTGTTAGCACAGAGTTTTTTCTCCTTTTAAAAGATTCATGTTGAAGCCTATGTTTTGAAGTTAGATCTTGAGCGGTGGGGTCGACAGGAGCAGATCAAATTCCAGGCCCATCAGTCTGGGCAGGGTCCCCTTCGCTACTCAATCAAAGACCACACAGTCTTGGGGCTGCCTTCCTGGGTCAGACTGGAACAGTGTAGCCAGTCATCTGCAATCCCTGACCGTCATTGTTTTGGACTAAGACATGCAAGGAGCCATGTCCGGCCATTAGAAATCTCCTGACCTGCCTGTGCCATCTAGGGGCCTCCTCCATGGCCTTTCTCAAGCGTACAGAAACACCAGGGGGGAATTATCAGCTGTCTGATAACTTGGTGCATTCAGATAAATAAACCTCTCTCTCTTCCTGAGCTCTGCACCAAAGGCATTTGCTGCTTACCCCACTATCGGTTATTAATGAGGTTCAAAGTCAGGAGAATTCCTCACTCCTCTGTGCCTGGAGCAATGCGTAGACTGAGTCATGAAGACTCATGAGTAAGGTTAAGATTTTGTCACAGGTATTTTTTAGTAAAAGTCAGGGACAGGTCGTGGGCAATAAACAAAAATTCAGGGAAGACAGTGACCTGTCCTGGACTTTTACTAAAAATACCCTGGGGGTGGGGCTAACAGTTGGAGCCCTGACAGGGGCTGACTGCTGGCCACTGCTCCGGCTCCACCACTGCTCCTGCTGGCCGCCAGCCCCCGTGGCCACTGCTCCTGCTCTGGAGGCGAGTATGCGGTTATCTCTTGCAGCCAGTGCCGCCTCCTGTAGGAGGTTGGTGGACATTTGGGGGAACTCCCTACCTGAAGTGGGGTGATTAAGGACTTCCTGGGGGGTGAGAGAGGGAACAGCCTAGGGTGCAGGTGACAGTGCTCCACCTGCAGGTGAGGGAGCAGGTTGCTGAGATCAGGGAAGGTGTGTGGTGTAACTCAGCCCTCTGGGCACTGCACTGACAGGGCTAGATCCACTGAGCCCCCACCATCAAACGCACTGGGACTTGGTCTTGTTTTGCAGATGGACAGAGGTGAGTTCCAGCAGGATTCTGTCCTCAAGCAGCTGGAGGTGCTCAAGGAGGAGGAGAAGGAGTTCCAGAACCTGAAGGTGAGCAGCGGCCTGGATCCAGCCTCAGGCACCTAAACCCCTTAGTAACATATGTGACTTGCAGTAGCCCCTAGACATGCCAACTGAGATCAGGGCCCCAGTGTGCTAGGTGCTGCACAAACACCTAGGCAGAGGCAGTCCTTGCCCTGAAGAGCTTACAGTGTGAACAGACAAGACGGAAGGGCAACAAGGACAGGCAGGGACTTCTCCAAGCTCCCAGGCACAGCCAGATACAACGGATGTTTGCTGACTGCCAACCCAGTGCCCTGCCCACTGGGCCTCAGGCAGCAGCCACGAGAAGCTACATTTCAGAGCCCAGCTCCCAGGGAGCAGCTGCAATAAGAGATATAATAGGCAGGTGTAATAGCATCAGCTGGTTCATAGAATCATAGAATCTCAGGGTTGGAAGGGACCTCAGGAGGTCATCTAGTCCAACCCCCTGCTCAAAGCAGGACCTAATCCCCAACTAAATCATCCCAGCCAGGGCTTTGTCAAGCCTGACCTTAAAAACCTCTAAGGAAGGAGATTCCACCACCTCCCTAGGTAACCCATTCCAGTGCTTCACCACCCTCCTAGTGAAAAAGTTTTTCCTAATAGCCAACCTAAACCTCTCCCACTGCAACTTGAGACCATTGCTCCTTGTTCTGTCATCTGCTATCATTGAGAACAGTATAGATCCATCCTCTTTGGAACCCCCTTTCAGGTAGTTGAAAGCAGCTATCAAATCCCCCCTCATTCTTCTCTTCAGCAGACTAAACAATCCCAGTTCCCTCAGCCTCTCCT